TGCATATGTTCTACAAATAACAAAATATGACTGGACCCCTCCTTCAGTACTGGGGTTTGAATCCTGGGCCTCTTCTGTGCTAGGCAAGCGCTCTACCACTGAGCTATGTGCCCAGCCACTTACTTTACTGTTTCTTTTGAGATAGGGTCCTGTTACATTTCCCAGCTTAGTCTTGAACCCACTCTGTAACCAAGGTGGGCCTTGAACTTGTGGTTCTTCTGCCTCACCTTTGTGGGTAGGATTGCAGGCTTGCACTGTTCAGTCTGGCCAGGTTATCAGACTCTTATGGCCCAGGTGTTCCCAAGTCCAGTAGATTATGTCTTCTTAAATTTTGCCATTTGAGACTTCCTTTTGACCTGAGGAATTTGTACATGTGAGTGTATAAAGATACAGGAGATGTATATTTACATATATATGTATATATCTATACAAGCCAAACATGTACTGACAATAAGTTATAAAGAAATTTATTTTAAAGCAATTTTCTGCCATACATATATTTTCAACATTAATTAAAGACGAAAGCAAACCTGCATACCAATGAGATGTGCTTGTTCACTTTCCCATAAAGAATTAAATCTTGGGTGGATACTTGATGGTGCGGGACATGGAACATCTTCAGTGCTTTTCACAGTTGGCTGATATTTTGATTTTATGTTTTGATTTTAATGTTGAGAACAACACTGGTTTGGATAAACACCCAGTACAAAATGGCATAAGGAAGTTTAGAGCCACTTCAGAATTTATTGACAATTCTGACCTAATCCCCACCCAAAATTTATTCAATGATTTTTTTTTTCCAGTAAAATTCAAGTCAGCAGCTAATGTAGCAAGTTTTCATTGTTGTTTTGAGATAGGGCTGGCCTGGAGCTCACCATGTAGACCAGGCTGGTCTCAAACTCAAAGATATCCGCCTGCCTCTGCCTCTGCCTCTGTCTCCTGCATGCTGGTTCCAAAGGCCATGCCTGGCTCAGGTAGCAAGTTTTAAAATCAAACATTTGAACACAATATAAGTCAAATAAATACTAATTTAACGCTGACATGCTGAGGAGCAACAGTAGGAGAAGATTAAGTGCTGTTGTTTTCCATAATTAAAGCATCACACTGCTGTAAAAGCAGACAGCGCTGTTCATACAGAGCCCTGGACGCCAGAGCACACAGCAAGTTCCCGTCCAGCTGAGCGGTCACAGGCACTCTGTGGGGGCAGCTCGCCAAGGGCACACGGCTGGCACTGCGTGTTCAGAACGAGGGCTGCCGTGAAGCCCCTGTGTGGCGTGGGCCGTTGGAGTTATCACATGCTTCACTGTGAGCCGATGTTCGGTCTTCACGTGTTCTTACTGTTACCAGGATTTTTACACTCCCAATATTCAGGTGTTTTTGCAGACAGAGCGTTAGCTCACGACAGGAGGGGGGCACTAATTGGAGAGAAAAAAGTAGCACCCTCAGTGTCTCCCAGTTCAAACAAGGGATCTACTTGAAAGGGCCAGGGGGAATCTGCAGATAGGCCTCCTCTTGAAGCCCTTTTACTCACGGGCTCACATTTATAGCCAAGGCGCAAACCATGCAAGTCTGATTGCTGACACGTGGAAGGAGGGGTGAAAAACAAAACAAATCAAAACAAAAAACAAAACAAACCCACACCCGGCAATCTTGTGCTTGATTTCTTGGAAACTGATGAACGCAAGAGAGGTTTCACTGCCAAACACTCACCATCAAAGAGATTAAAGGAGAAGATTCGTTTCCTGTGTGTAGTCTGCTTTTAGCTTGAATGTCACTTCCAGGAAGCCTTCCTGCCCGGAGAACCTGATTAATGGCCTCCTGCTATCACTGCCCAGCTCCTGTGGCTTAATTACTTATCTAAGTCTCTCACTAGTCTGTGAGACTCCTTGGGGAGTCACCAGCTGCCTCTGTAATCATAGGCCCTGGGGGGGCCATGGGGGAGAGGGGGGAGGAGAGTGAACGGCCGTGGCTCAGCAGCTTTGTGGAGGCACAACACACACACACACACACACACACACACACACACACACACACACACCCACCCAAGACTACAGCCGCATTTCTCAATCTGTGGGTTGCAACCCCCACATGGTTGGAAGGCCCTTTCACAGGTGTTGCTTAAGACCATCAGAAAACACAGATATTTCCATTACGATTTATAACAGTAGCAACATTACAGTTACGATGTAGCAACAGAAATAACTTTATAGCTGGGGCCACCACAACGTGAGGACCTGTATTAAATGGTGGCAGCCTTAGGACGGACTGGAGAATGGTGGAGTTACAGGCTGAACTTCTTGGCTCTGAATCTACTGACGGTGTGAGGGAAAAAAGAGAAACCACGGAACTAGAAGAGGCAATGGGAGAGAGGGACTCTCCTCATGGGAGAGATTTAAACTAAAAATAAAAAATAAAAACAGAAATTGATCAGACTCAGGACTTGGATAGCTGCCTTTGATTGCTAATTAAACAGGTCATGAGGGATGTTCTGTTGTGATTTTATTTATTTATTTTATTTATTTTTGAGACAGAGTCTAATGTAGGTCAAGCTGGTCTCAAACTTGCTGGCCTTGAACTTGTAATTCTCCTGCCTCAGCCTCCTGAGTGCTCAGATTATAAATATGGGCCACCTTGCCTAGCAATTAAAGCGATCTTTAAGACCCATTACCCAGTTAATCATTTTCCAAGAAATGGAGCACAGGACGGGTAGCTGTTTTCCAGCCTGTCCCTTTATGCTCCAGGAATCAAACGCGCGTCATTTATGAGTGACTATTCAAGCGTTGTGAATCAGCTATCCTTGCTCATAGTTGGGAAATTCAAGATTGTGAATGCTCCAAACCTGCGACAAATCACGGGTTCCAACTCACACCTAGGAGGCCTATTCCTCACAGTTCCGACTTCTTAGCTCAGCTGAGGGCCACACCTTCCTCTGCAACAGTGTAAACAGAGACCAGTTTAATCGTGGGAGGTTCTGCATAATTCCATAGAAAATCTGTCCTTCTTCTGCCAGACGAAGGGCAACAAAGTATGGGAGAAGGCATCCCTCCCCTGTAGAGGGTGAAGGCACTGCCAGGCCTGCCCGAGACCAATCCCTAGCCCCAACAGCGGGGACTCCCACGTCGTCCTCTGCCCTCTACATGATGCTGTGTAGTGCTGTAGCACTCCTATATTCCCACAGCAAATAAACATACAAAAACTGTACAGACGGTTCTCAAAGGGTGGGAGTTGTACTGCTCCTCTAGGCTTGCGATGTTTCGCCATTAACCAGAGTCTCGGAAGACTGCCACTCCAGCCCATAACCACATACACCTATTCTGCTTTCCTTTCTCATCCCACCTTCGTCTCTGCTTAGAAAATGTCTGTGAACACTTTCTCGTTTACTTCATCGGCCAAGAAGAAAAAATAAAGCGGAAGTATGTCTTTTTAAATAATCATCCAGTCATCCAAAAGCTTGTCAGTCTCTAAAGATACTAATGGACACGGAGTGGTAGAAGGCTCCGAATCAGGGAGATTCGGGGTTAGCCATTGTTAGTTGCCTAAATAACTGTTCTTATTTGCCCAACCCCCTAGTTTCTCCCTGTCTAAAACAGGGATTCAGAATGGCTGGTTGTGTTCCTCTGTCTTGGACCTGCTCCTCTGAAACCCAGCTTGAGGGCTGTTTCTTTCTTGCCCGATGGCAATCACCTTTTTCCTCTGCATGAGGCTGCTGAGCTGATCTGCCTTCGAGAGCACTGAAGAGATAGTAAGACCTGGTGTCTTTGCTCACAAGATTAATTCTCAACATTACAGGTTGAGACATTGTGTCTGGTAGGGCCTCCATCTATGTTGCTTGTACCTGTCATGAGGTGTGGTACTGGGCTGCTAACCGGCCATGTTTTTGTCACGGTATACAGGGAATCAGGCTCTATTTTCTGCAAAGTTGCCATCGCGTTTACCGTTTCTCTCATGCCCCAGGTGGGGCAGGGCTTGGGGAAGAGGGAAGCTATGATTCTCTTTTTGGACTTTTAAAACAGTTCAGGAACGACGGAGAGAAATCTCACCACAGGAGAGCTGAGAAACCTATAAAAATAATAGCTAAATATTAATGACGTATTTTGCGACAAAAATAAAGGGATTTCTTTTGAAAGGATAAAATCCCTCACTCCGATGTTGTCGGCTAGGATTTTCCATTTTTGAATTACTGTCTTTTGATATGAATCTATTTATTTATTACCCTGGGGTTCGCCAGGAACAAGTCTCCTAGTTCTTTGATTTCTTGTAAAACTTTGCATGGTGTTTGGGAGGATTATGGTAACAGCTGCGTGACCATAGTGAAACTCCTTAACGGTTGAGCTCGTATATGAGAAATGGAGACTAACATGTAAGATGCAATTAACGATTAACATTTGCCTGGCTTTATATAGGGTAAATATATAGACGGCAATGTGCTCAAAGGTAGTTAATTATTAGCGGCCTCAAATGAGCAGGCCACTCACACGTTCTATAGACGTTCATCCATTCCGGTCTGAAGACAGCCTTAAACTTTAAGAAATGGAGATCTTTCCTGCTCAAGAGAGAAGGAGAGACTAGCAGGGAACAGCGGAAAAACCAAGGACATGAGCACCGAGTGGCGTGCACTTTAAAAGCCTAGTCCTATCTCTCGCTTCTAGTTGCTCCAGTTGGTCCTCCCTGCGTCTCAGCCTTCTCCTGGGACCCGGTGGATAACGCTGCTCCTCACTGGTGCCGGCAGTGAGATGCTTTGAACGGCGGGCCTCGGAAGCTAGGGTTGGGTTAGAGCCAGGACCTGTCACCGCGCCTGGACCCCGGGAGATGGGCGCAGAGCTGGGAGGAAGGGCCCGGTCGCCAGGTTGAGCGCCGAGGGCTCACTGGGGCCTTTGTTGGCCGCCGGGGTTGCATGCGCTCAGGCCCAGGGAGCGAGCCCTACGTAGCGACCGCACTCGGGCTCCGGCCGCCACACCGATGCAGGCGGAGAAGGGCTGGGGAGAAATATATAGGCTGCTCTACGGCGCCGCTAAGTGGCAGGCCGGCCGGCCACTGGCGGCGGCGGCTGGGCGCTCGGGGAGGCGGCGGCCAATGGCTGGCGGGGACCGGGGCGGGGACTGGCGGGGGTGGGCCCCGGGGAGGGAGGGGCGCGCGGCCGGCGGCGGCGGAGGCGGCTCCAGCAGCGTCGCCGGCGGCCGCGGCAGAAGCGCCCTGGGCCGCGGCAGGTGAGGCAGCCGATATATTTCTCCCCAGCCCTGCTCCGCCTGCATCG